TACAAAGCAAACCATATTATACGTTCTTCAGCTTCGTCCCTTGTATCTGTAGTGTGACGTTGCGGCAGAACATAATTATGGCGGCATATAGGCGGTTCTGTACATGAGCAACGGAGCACTATGTTCAGCCAAATTCCGAAAAAATTAAAAAAATCGGTAAAAAATTGAAAATTATTTCGTCCCCTCCTTTGCCGGCCCTGAGTATACGTATCATACAGTTTGATTGGAGCTGCACTCTAATAATTATTACTGCACTAAAAGAAAATCATGTAATCTGCCAATGACACACTAGCCGCTAGTGTGTCTGATAATGCTACTGTCGCAGCTCTGCCCAAATTGTCAAATGTATTATATAAAACATAATACCGTTAAGTATGCTCCGTTGCTCATGTACAGAACCGCCTATATGCCGCCATAATTGTTTTTTCAATCTTAATACTACAGTGTGTACGTAGTGTTGTTGACCTACTGTGAATGTATGACGCTGTAAAACAAAATAAAATCAAGTTTTTTTATACCGTTAATTAATGCAACTGCAACCACGCACCATCACGTACAGCATAATTTTGAAGCAGTCATACAAGTAGTGGTACGATGTGCGGGGTGCCGTATCAATGCCGTATAAATGCCGCAGGCACGAAGGAAGGTTCATCGAGACTCCATAGTCCAAACCAGGGGTCGAAGGCTGAAGTGCAGCACAACATACCGTAAATACCGCAGTGATACGATCAACAACAATTTCATCAGCATGCCTTAAATAATTATTACGAGTAGATATTATAACATCCGATATCTGTATTCTGTAGTCTGTACAGTGAGTGTACAGATACGGTACTGCTAGACCTCGCTTGACTTGATTTGTCATAATTATTTTGTCGACACTTCGTCGAGGAAAACAGTCAAAGGATGAAAATAACAAGTTAACAAGAAAAATATTTTCACGGAAATGAGATGCTTCTATTGATGATTTAAGCTGTTTGCGTTGAACATAGTCGTCTATGGAACGATTTGGCGTATACTTCTACTTCTATGCTGCATTCCCGCGCTGCATTTCCAGCGAAACTTGTATTCGTTGACGCAGAAATTGCTTTTTTTAGTTATGACATTAGCGGACTGGATGAAATCGAACACTTTCGTACAACACGGAACCGGCAGGGGTTGCGCGCTACTCTTCAGGACGAAGCGCACAGCACGGCGGTCACACCGGAGTGGCGAAGGCATACTTCTATCGCAACAGGCATGTCTCTGGGTTCTGAATGGCACTACTGACCCTGGTGAGTACCGACTCAATCAGTTACGCGTTACAACTAGTAACAATTTAATTAACGGGCTTTATGTGATATCACGAATATCAGTATCGGTAATCATGAGTAATGCTGTATGCGAATGTATAATGTATATATGAAGTTGGCGCGGTGTAAGTAAGATGACCTTGATTCCTAATGATTGGTGGTGACGATGTAATCCACGATTTTCCTTCGACAGCAGGTTGACCGGTTTCCATACTGATAATACTGGATTCCCAGCTGCACGCGCGCTGCAGGTGAAGGCTCAGTACCTCGCACCTGCTCTGTACTTCCGGCATCCACCGCCGGACCATTCCCGACGTACTTTGGGAGAAAGATTCTGATTTTCGGCGAGTGCACGTGTTCGATCCGGTTGGATGGCTGGTGCAGCTGAAAGTTGGAGCTGCTGAAATTAATTCAATCGTGGGGACGCCTAATCGCTGCTGGTCGGTACGTGTGCGGTAGGCACTTACGGCAGGTTTTCTTAACTGATCACTTCCGGTTAGGTTGCACTGTATGGCCGATCACTGGATTGTTGCTCATGATCAGTAGTTAATAGTTATGATAGTACAGGCGGCGTACTATAATACCTTTCGTGTGAAAGCGCTCGATAAATGTTCACGAGCGCGCTACACTTCCGTGCTATGAATATATAATTCCCGATATTCCCGATATATATAGACCATTCCCGATATATATAATATGTTTATACGGCTTTTCAAGGTACCGTCAATTTAAGTATCATGTCATCAGTACAAACTTAATACTAGAAACGTTTATAACACAAACACTTCCTCAATGCTATCCCGATCGGGAATGGTATACCCATTACACAAATCACATTCCCCCGTTGTATCTGGATTGAGAGTCGCTGTCCTTTCAAGGGAAGTGACCCGCGGTATATAGTACCCGGTTCGTGTACAGGCACGAACACCTGCACTTTCGCGCACTCCCAAATTAAACCCCCTTTTGCTGTTTTTTGTGACATTCCGGCCACATGATTTTTGTATGTATTTATGTACATAGGCGTAAACCTTTTAATTGTGCGCGCAACTTCCGGTTCCGAAGTTATGGCTTTAAGAAAAATTCTAACCTTTAAATGTATTCAGGTGCACCGAAAGTTTTATTAAGGACCGACCTTCTTTAAATTTTGCATATACAGTCTGTATATAGTATATACTGTAGATGCACATAAGTGTGAAGTTAGTTTTTATATTACAACGGAAGGCTGACGGTGTGCTCCCGTTTACTGTGGGTTGGCTACACGCCGCGCCACGCCGCTAAACAGACCGATGTTGGTGGTCTAATTGTTTGCAATTAGAAAGTTTATGAACAGGAAATGGTCTTACTGTTTTCCGGGAAGAATGCTGCGTGATTAGGTGGAAGAACGAGAGGTTATTTCGACCGAACGAACGACAGAATGTCCATGGACCAATTTATTCAAATTTAGGAAGTTACTCAATTACCGACTGATCAGCGTCCAATTTTCCATTTCACATCACACCGTTAAACACCGTTAACACACTAGCCAGCTGTGACTCATCAATCCACACAGACTGACCAATCAAATAAAGTTCTAATTATTTGAATTTAACCACAGTCGCTATATCCCCGCCGTAAGCGGTTAATTAGTGAATTAACCAAGACACAAAAAAGAGATTACAAAATCAAATACTGTTATTCCAGCAAACAGAAATGAGCAAATTATTAGTAAAAATCCATGGAAATTACCGAATTCCATTCCGTCCATGCCTGTCCGACACTTCACTTGTCCGCTTCAGAATCTTCGTCCTTGCCATTCTGTCCGTTACGTCGCTCTTCGCGCCATTCCTCTTTCTCTTTCTTACGCTGATCCATCATCACCTTCAGATCATCCTCCAGCTGCCGTTTCTCTGCTTCTTCCTGCTTTTGCTTTTCTTGCATACGTTTGATCTCCTGCTGGTACTTCTCTGTTTCCGCTCGTAATCGTGCCAGCTCATCGAGATCACCACTACGAATCCGCTCTTCGCTCTGACTACGCTGTACGTCCGCTGGTTACTCTTTCACAATACGTTCTCCAATCTTATGAATGTCACGTTCCATTTCAATGTGATGTCCGCAGCTCCACATGTCAATCGAAGCATACTGTCTGCGGCGATCTGCATACCACTGTTGTCGCATACGGTCCAGCTCACGATACATACGCAAAACATATTCACGGCTCACTTCGTCATATGTTCCATCCCACATACAGTCTCCCGACCAAAAGGCAATGTCATCCGGGAAGAATCGGTTCGGATTAAAGTACAAAGGCGGCTCTTCACTACGTCGGAATCGTCCCTGAATAAGTTTTAACACCTGTCCATAACGATTCTCCCAACGAGTCGTACCGTCCTTCTGGGATTCATACGTGATCCACGAAGTCGCAGCGAAACGATCATAGAACCAAGTCTCCACATACTTTGGACTGAGTGACGTCTTTATAGGCTCTGGATACGTTACGAATCGCTTCTTATTTTCCGCTTCATTACTTCGCAATAACTCCAAAAATGTCTTCAACTCTAACACGTGCCATCGTTCCGCTCTACAAGTTTCCGGTTTGTCTGGATTCTCTTCGCTCTGCGCTAGTGTGTTAAGTCCATCCGCCATGCGATTCAAATCTGCCATCACGACACCATACTGCTCTTTACGGAGACGTTTTTCCATACTCATGAATGGATGAATCGGCAAATTCCCAGGTACACCCGGTTGGATACGGTACTTTACGTTCTTCAGGACAGCTTCTCCCTGGCGTCTACGCGCAATGTCCGCTTGCTGCTGATTTGGCTGCAGCATACGCTGTGGATTTTGCTGGGTCATACGCTGCTGCTGATTGTGCATTGACTGCACTGGTCCACTTTCCGCGACACGCTGTGCCATTGTCCGGTTTTCCATCTGCACATACGATTTAAAATAAGTATCTGACTCAACATACTTTTGTTCATCAGAATAACATACATTACGATCTGCGGTACGTTGCTGTGTCTGCTCGCGCGGATCGGAACGCATCATACGTGAGTTAACCGTGGCTTCGCGTCCATCCTTGAAAGTAATCGGAGGATGTGCTCTACGCTGCTCTGGCTCATTATGCTCCACGGGTTCATTACGATACACCGGCGTCATCATGATGAATGGCATATTGTCCCGCTCCTCATCATCACCACGATCCACGTGCGACGCTGGTGGCATACTAGTCTGCTGCTGACGCTGACCACTCATACGCTGCTGTCGACGCTGGGATTCGAGCTCTCTGCGATACTTTTCCCGATCCCGTGCTTCCTCCACTTCACTCCACGAAATGGATTCTGTCAGACGATCCACTTCCTTACGTGCACCACGAAGACGTTCTTTTGCTATTTCTATTTCAAGCTGATCACCATAAGCTTTAATCTGTCGCAACTTCTCACTACGCTCTTCGACTTCACGACGCCACTTATCGCGCTTCTCCTTGTCTTCCGTACGCCACTGCTGTCTTTCACGCTCACGCTCTGCACGTTGCACCCGCTCACGTTCTTGTTGGTCACGTTCACGCTGCTCACGTTCTCGTTGGAGATTCAAAGCATCAGCATCTTTACGCTCCCGTGCCATCTGCTCCATACGACGCAGGCGCTCTTCTGCAGTGTCGTCATTTTTTCGCTCCATTTCTGTTAACAAAACATACTTAGTACAGATGCACAATACGTATTGTAGTAAGTTTAATACGAGTATCTCATCTCATTTTCTTATTAATCACTGGATGAGATTTCGTAGAAACTGTACGATTATTCTCGACCGGCCAAATTATTGTCGGCTTATTATTCGCATTACTAGTTTTAGTGGCTATGCGTTGACTTCTACGCCTGATAAAGTCATTTTTGCTGTTTAATACGTCAGGATCATACTCCTTATACGACTTAAGTTTATCCATATGTACAGTTATTATTTGACGACTACGACTTGATTTATCCATTGACTTCAATTTGACGTTAACTACGTCTGTAATTTCTAAGATTTTGTATGGTCCTTTATACAAGTACTGTAACTTTTCAGTGCTGCCAGTTGTACGCTGCTCATCTTTCACCCATACGTAATCACCTACTTTGTACGTACTATCTTCACGATTTCTATCATAATTCTCCGCATTCTTTTCATGCATACGGTCAGTCAATATTGTTGAAAATTCCGTCGCAATTTGTAACGCTCTGAACATTTTGTCAAAATACTGCTTTACTGTTACGTTATCAGTATTTTCCGACTTAATTTCCTTGAATAACGTGTCTACTGTACGGAGCGGCTGCACACCAAACATTAAGTACGATGGTGCATATCCAGTAACGCTATGTACTGTACTGTTATACGCATACGTAATAAAATTTATGTAATTTGTCCAGTCATTTTGCATCTTGTTTACGTATGCAGTTAATTTCTCAGCAATAAAACGATTCATTCGCTCTACTTTGACATTTGACTGCGGATGATAAGACGTCGTAAATCTATGCTGAACTTGCATAATACGATTCAATTCTCGTACGATTTTGCTGATAAAATTCGAACCACGATCTGTCGTCAAATGCTTTGGAGGACCAAATTTTAAAATAATCTCCTTTAAAATAAATTCTGCGGTCTCTTTCGCATTCGTAGTTTTCACTGCTGCACATACGACAAATCTACTCGTGTTTTCCACAGCCACAATAATATGTTTAAAACCTTCTGCAGTTTCATGGAATGGTCCCAATATGTCTATTGACCAACATTCCAACTTATCATACGATTTTAACTGTTGTAAATACGCCGTCGGAGGTATATTAATCGGATTGCGCTTCTGACAATGTTCACACGCTTCTACATAATTACGCACATAATGCAACATTCTTGGCCAATAATACCGTTCAAGTACACGCTCTAATGTACGTTGTAAACCAACATGTCCACCACTCGGACTGTCGTGCATTACGTATAGTATGTCAGCACGCATAGTACTGGGAATACAGTACAACAATAAGTTCTTGCCTTTTCTGCACGTCTTCCTCATTAGAATTTCATCTACTATTCTGAACAACTCTAATCGCTTCTGTTTACGCCTGGTCGCTCGCTCATACGCCTCTTTGTCTGTAAGTAACGTAATAATATTACTACAGTATATATCTGCACGTTGTTCTTTAATTAATAATTCGTCTGCCTTATTATCCATAATCGAATGATACATAGGAATCTGATATTCCTCTTCTCCACAAGGCTTTTCTACGCTATATCTGCTGAGATGATCGGCATCTTGATGTGCTTTACCACGACGATACGTAATTACATACTCGTACTCCTGCAGCATCAGTGCCCATCTCGCTAAGCGCCCGTGTGGCTCTTTTAAATTTAGCAAGTACTGTAGTGCGCTATGATCTGTGATTATGGTAAATTTCAGTCCCATTAAGTAATGACGGAACTTTTTACATGCGAACACTATCGCAAATAGTTCCTTTTCAGATACGGAGTAATTGACCTGGTGTTGGTCCAGCATACGCGATGCGAAACACACGACGTGCCATCCGTCGCTGTGTTTTTGCTCTAATATTGCACCGACTCCTATGTCGGAAGCATCTGTTTTCAGCTGAGTCTCCAATTTATAATCAAAAGGTTTTAATACTGGTACGCTCATAAGGACTGTTTTTAAATAGTCATACGCTTGTTGCTGCTCTACTCCCCACATAAACGGCTCATCCTTACGAGTTAGTTTTAGTAACGGTTGGGCATACGTAGAGAAATTTTCTATAAAACCACGATAATACGTTAATGCTCCGATAAACGATCGGACGGCTTTAACGCTATCGGGTACTGGTAATTTTGCGATCGCATCCACTTTACTTTTATCTGGCTTTAGTCCGTCTTTACTGATTAAGTAGCCCAGAAATTTTATTTCTTCATACGCAATCTCGCATTTCTTGGGAGATACTGTGAATCCTGCCTTCGCTACTGCAGCTAATACGCTATCCAGTAATTCCATGTGTTCGTCAAATGTTGCTCCGCCTATTAGGATATCATCTACGTAACATACGACACCCTTCCACTTTAAATGTGAAAGTATGCTGTCGATTGCTTTTTGGAAAGTAGCGGTTGCTCCCGCTAAACCAAAAGGCATACGTAGGAATTCATATTGACCGTCTTGGGTCACGAATGAGCATTTTTTAACATCTCGCTCTGCCATACGAATCCGCATTGAATCCGCTCGTGTAGTTGAGTCGTAAAGTACTTTGAGTTTCCAAAGCTATTTACGGCATCCTCTACGTTCGGCAACCAGCCACGCCGATTTATGATATATCTTATTTAATTCTCTAAAATCAATGCATAATCTTGGTACTGCATTCGGATCTGCCTTCTTAACGATTACGTCAGAAAACTCCATGGTGAAGTTATTTGCGAATTACACTTATTTTCCATTTCATCTACCTGCTGCTTAATTATCTACGTTACATAGGAAGTACTCTGCGGTAGTTTCTTAATTGGTGATGATCGCCTGTTTCTATCTCATGCGTTACGTAATTAACATTACTTTTACGATTCTCACAGGAAATACACGGATGCTTTACGAATAAATAACCAGATTTCTTATGCAAAATCTTTTATTTCAATCTCAAATCTGAATCATAATTTTCTCCAGATACGTATTTAATACGATTAGCTGCATAATATTGTTCCATTCTGCACTCACTCCCTTTTGATTTCATATCTGTATCGACCAATTAATTTCGAAATTTCACGTACAGATTCATACCTTCAAATGTATGTAACCTTTCTGAGTATTGATACTACGCCTTCACGCTTAATACATTTCAGTATGCAAAATTCTTGTGGTGCAGTACTTAATCAAGTCTCCATTGAACTATGTTACCCATAATAATTTCACATTCGGTGTACACGGTCTACTTTCTTTCACATTATTATGGTTTAATCTTACTCGCTCGATTTCTTCACTACGTTGCAGTTAAGCTTCTATCGATCATACGTCAGCTTCATCTTGTACTTCATCTGTACTCAGTTTACTTCTGTCCTAATTACTGTACTTTGCTTTAAGGGCAGTGGAATGTATCTAGTACTACAGTACTAGTACTCTGCAGTTTTTCTTCTTCAATTTGATTCTGCAAACGTTGCATTCTGGCTTGCATTTTCGTTACGTAATTAAAATTACTTTTAATATCTTGCACATCGGATATACACGGGTTCTGTAAGTACCGATCTTCATATTTCTTATGTACAAAATCTGTGCGCTTATTTTCAATCTCAAATCTGAATGCATAATTTTCTTCAGTTACGTATTTAATACGATTATTTGCATAATATTGTTCCATTATGCACTCTACGCACTCCGCTTTTGATTTCATATCTGTATCGATACTAGCAATTAATTTCGAAATTTCACGTACAGATTCATACGCTTCAAATGATATGTAACCTTTCTGAGTATTGATCACTACGCCTTCACGCTTAATAAAATCATTTCCGAGTATGCAAAATTCTTGTGGTGCAGTACTTAATAACCAAAAGTCCTGCTTGAACTTATGTTGACCCATAATAATTTCACATTCGGTGTAGCACGGTCTACTTTCTTTCACATCATTACTTATGGTGGTAAATCTTAGCTGCTGCCCTTCCGGTGCTTCAATACGTTGCAGTTTAAGATCTAACATCATAGGATAGCTCATTATGCTTGTACTCGCACCTGTATCTATCAGTGCCTCTACTTCCTGTCCGTTAATTACAACGCTTACCTTTGCGGGTTTACAGGATGCAGGTCCGCCATGTAAGTTAGTACTCAAGCTCACTACGCTTCAATGGTACGGTGCCACTCAATGATACAATACGGTCTACAGGAGGCTTTCTATCCACGCGGCCCTACGGACCTCCGTTTACGTATGGCGACAGTCTTTTCCCTCTTCTGACACCCAGAAGTTATCGTTCTGATTTCCCTTTTCTACTTCATCTTCATACGCTCGCTGTAGTTCTCGCTTCTTATCTTCAGGACATTTCGGCAATATAGATTCTAAATCTCTACGACTCTTAATGAAAGGACACATACGAAACCCATGCCGATAATCGAAGCACTTAGGACAGAAATACAATCCGTTATTCAGCCTATACGACGAGAAATCTATCTCATTACGACTGAACTTCCATTGTGTAATCGGTAAATCACGTTGTCCAGGGCTACGAGAACGAGAAAATCTACGATTATCACCACGTTCTCTGTTACGATTTACATCACGGTCCCGACTTCCACTACGATCACGGGAGAAATTTCTACGAAATCGGTCACCGCGATCGCGACGACTCACGTCCTCGCTCATCCCGGTTCCATCTGTCATTTCTGCCACGATTCTCATACGTACGTGAATCGCGATTGCCATAACGAAAGTCATTACGAGTATCACGATTACTGATATAGCGGTTGTCAATACGATTATCACGGTTAGCATACGTATTCCTTCCATAATAATTGTTATGATTATTACTGTACTGACCACTGCGAAAATCATTACGATCGCGAGATCCGCTACGTTCCCGAAAAGATCTAAACTTATCGAAAGATCTACTTCGGTCTCGCTTGTAATCATACGCATTAACTGCCTGTGCCGTACTCACTTGCATAGTTTCTTTCGTTTTCGACTGGTCAATAC